AAGGCAAAATGGGGGTTGAAATATAAACAGATTTAATAGAATGAGATTAAATAATGATGAACATTAATAATACTCAAGAACCAGTATTGATCCCAATATAAAATAACACAAGGATTTTACTCAGCCAATTCTATCTGTAGGAAGCTGTGCACTCCCAGCAGTGGACAGCAAATGTTGGACACTGTGAGCGCTACGGCTTCAGGAGGAAGGGAAGGGCTCAGGGGTCCAGTACCAGGGCAAAAAGTTCTCTGGATCACCGCCATCAAGGGAGAGAGAGAATTCCTCAGCAAACTTTCTAATTTATATTGAATGTGATATTCATGGTATGAAATAATCCTGTTGGCCAGCTTGGGTCGAGTGCCTGGGTCTCACTCCTCCTCATACCTGAACCTGGTGAGGTTCAGAAACACTGAGACCTTGAAACCCGCATCCTGTAGCTGGCTATAAAGTAAATATTTTCCAGAATTCAGACACTAGTCTTCTAAAAGGCTGTTTTCCCAAAGCATTAGAACACACCTTACTGCAAAGTAAAATTACCGGAAAAGGAATTAATCCTGTGTCGCTCAAACCAGGACAGCAGCTGAGGGAAGGAGGGTGTTTGGGCAGTGAACGAATTGCACAATTTCCTGCATCGGCCCAAGGCTCCCTGCTGAGTGCGGATTCTCAGCTGGAAAATGAAGGGAAGATGCCCAAGAAGATTTTTAACCATCAAGGAAAATGTTGCTTTCTGGGAGCTCCCTAAAGTTTGCCCTAGTGCTGGTTTTACCCCTCTTCCTCTGTTCTAGCAACATTTTTATCGGTGAAATTCCACCGCCCCTGCTAGCACAGCAAAGGTTTGAGTCGTTTCTCGCGACAGTAGGCTGCGAACCTGTCCTGCTGCAGCCCTTCGGGCAGGCTGGCACTCTGTCTCCTTGAATAGGCGGCGCATTGGCTTTTGTCTTGAGAGAGAACAAGTTTCCTTCGCAAGAATACATCATTTTTTCCCAACATTTATCTGATGGCTCCCTCTAGAGAGAAGAACATAAATACTGACCTACTTTACAAATTGAACTTCTTGGATTTGGTCACTTCTAGTCCCAGAAGTGGGTTTGTTCCATTTGCTCCCCGTTAGATTCTTTGCCTTTTCAATACCTTCTTTCTCTCGTTTTCTAGATGAATGCTGTTAGGACGACTGCAGGAATAGAGAGTTTTTGAGTCTCATTTGCATGACAAAATGATCTCCTGTAATTGGGCACTGGGTCTGCCGAAACGCACCCAGAACTACCTCTCCCAGCAAAACAAGAGATGTAAGGCTGATGGATGAGCAGGGAAACACTCTGAGCTGAGCCAGGAGAGGTCTGGAGCTTCCCGCTGCCATGCAGAGCAGTAACAGCTCGTTTGAAAAGATGGTGGGCGAATGTTGGCCAGCGCTCATTTTTAGATAAGGAGGATCTGGTGTCAGGAGAAGGGGCACTTTATTTTTGCATGGAGTGTGAGAGAGCAATACGCGCAGGGAACAGAAGAAGGGCACAGGAACTTAACGGATTAAACAAGTTTATAGCTGCCCTTCTCCACTGGAGTCAGCGACCACCGGGTCGTTCTCTGAAAGAATAATTCCACATTCGCTCTCCGCTCCCTGAGTTAATGAAAACTAGTACTGCTCCTACTGCTATGGCTTTACAAAAATGCTTTGTTATTCCAAAAGCACAATCAGTGATTGAAGTGAAAATTGAAAGGTCTGGCCCAGGGCTGTGTCCCACCAAATAAATTGTTTACCTTGAGGTTTTCAGCACTGACTTAAGTCTGTTTACATTGAAGCCTATAGTAAAACTCCCCTCTCTGAGCCCAGGCAGGGCATGTCCAACATCCCACCTGAGTGGTGTTTAACGGGAAGGGGTGTCCCTGCTTGCATCTCGTTCCCAGTGAGTGTGGAGAAGTCACACAGCACAGAAGCTGGCGGGTGTCTTGGTGCAAATGCAAATAGTTGGTATTTGCCATTTACTCAAAAAAAAAAAAAAAGATGTATATGGAAAGGTCCTGCTATTCAAATGCAGATGACAAAAAATGTTTAGACCTTTAATCAACCACAGGTTTATTTATTTTTGCTTTTTTTTACAAAGAATAAACATGGCCCAGAAATGAAACTTAGGAGAAGAGGAAATGCAGTTTACAAAATTGTCCGATTTCTGTGACATTGACCTCCTAAAATTTTCAGCGAGGAGAGAGAAATGTTTGAGTGCCACCTGCAACACTGCAGCCAGTCCTGCTGCACTGCCGGTGGGCTGTGCCTTTCCATTAGGACACGGGGGAAATGACTCTGCACGTGGTCTGTGGCGCTACGCTCCTCTTTGTGCAAAATTCCTGAGAGCAAAAACCTTCCGACTAGGTGACTTCACGAAACGAAGAAAAATGCAAAAGCCTTCAGAATGCGAAAACCAACCGAGGTCAGAGTCATCTGAGCCTGAGAGCCAACACAAGACATGTCAGGCTGAGCGTGGCAAGGGACGGGCAGTAAGAACAGCCGCTGTGCTTGTCCTTCGCCTCCTATAAAGCAGGTGTGTGCTGAAGTCCTCAGCCTGCGCTGATCAGTAAGAATTTTCACCACCTTGTATTTCTGCTAATCTGTCACTGGACGCGCTTTTTCTCTTGCCCCTAAAATTTTAGAGGTGGCACTAAACATATTTGCTTACACGCAGGTACAAGTCATTCTGAACGGCATTAAGGCAAAGCATCTGGCCGGCTTTACAGCCACACGGCGCGTCTGCTCTTGTGGAAAAGGGCTGAAATAAAGCATCATCAGGACCATAATGCCAAAGTGTGGGAGACATGAGATTTTTTTTCTAATCGCTGTCCCATGTTTTAATTCTTCTTAAATCACAAGTGCTCTTAAACCATAGCTGGTTCTTCTACACTATGACCAAACTTTGATTAAAGAACTTTTCATACTTTTGGCTTAATTTTTAAGCTGTGACAAAAAAAACCCAAAACCAAAAACAAGCCCAAACCAAAACAGAACAGGCTATTCAAATACATCAGTACAGAATATGGACTGAAATACATGTTTTATATATATTGTGTACGTATGGTTATTTTTATGAACTATTTAAATACCAGTCATTAAACTTTTCTTCTATCCTGCAGAGCTGAGAAGAAACTTGACTTAAATACTCAAGGATGCAAATGCTTTTATTAGCTTTACAGCTACGGGATAAAGAAATGTAGTTACTAAATATGCTTTCAGCTATGCGCAGTAGCTGTATTTAAGAGTTTGAACCATGTAAAATGTTAATACTGGACTTCTAGGAAATAAACGACTGTACAAGTCTTGCTGTTGTTTTCTTTCACTGTAGTGCGAGAAGGAGTTAAGTTACTAAAATGAAGCGGTGGTTTGAATGCTGATCCAGCCTCTTCGGGAAGAGCTGCGACATCCTGATGTGTCTCAGCACTGCTTATCATGGGAAAACTTATTTCAGCCCCCGCCCCCCCCGACAGCAAAGCCTTTATTTCCAAGGAGACTGGCAATAGGCTAAGAGAAGTCTTTTCTAAATTGACACTTAATAGGATGTCTTTGAATAATGAGTAAATGCAGGTATCTTGTGGGAAACTGAATTATGCAAAGCAGACATAGCGAGTTCTCCTCTGCCCATCAGCATGGCCTTTAGCTACTAGTCACTGCAGGGAGCTCAGGAACGCCCGTGTTATATTTGCATCTAGGTCTGTTGTCCTACCACACTGGTCCGCCACCGTGTGTCAAAGAGCAGCACAGCTTGGTTGGGTTCTGTATACAGTTTGCTATCAAACACACTCAGTTCAGGAGAAAATGTGTTACCGCTATTGTTATTAATAGTCTTGGCTTTGCAGTAAATCTGAAATACGTAAGACGAAATGAATCCCACCTGACTGTCTTAGTCTGAGCTGGTTGTCTTCACCATGAGTAGAAAGATGTAGGAATGTAGGGGTTGTTTCTTAAATTAGATCCAGTAAATCACTGTGGAAAAGCCTGTTTTCTCTCTACTGATTTACACTGAGAATCCCAATGAATAATTCAAATGTCCACAGGTCAGGTAAAATGAATCCCATCCTGTGTGTCTGGAAATAAGCAGTTCCAGGCAAAATACAACCTTCTTGTCAGAAGTTGGACTTCGCCACTAAAACCTGTGCCCCCTGCTGTTCCCTTCCCCCCTCTTAATCCATTGGTAATGATAAAGCAATTCCCTTTGATCTTTCACAGAAACGGCAAGCACGTACAGCTTAGCACGTTATTTCTTTTCATGCCCAGAGTCATCCAGCCATTTCTCTGCTGAATCCAGCCCTGTCTGGGTGTGGTATGTGTTGAAACCTCCTCCTTCGTGGTGTCTTGACATAAACGGGATAATATTCAGCCCTGGCTCCATAAAGTAATGTGGAAGGCATTTGGCAGCGTTCCTAAATTCTTGCTGTTTAAACATGAGGAAGCAGATCACTTCTGCATACCAGCACTGATTTATAGAAACCGAAGGCCGTGAGGAATCCTTTCATTTAAATAAGCAGGCAACACAAGAGAGAGTTTCTGCGTTCCCAGTTATAGGTTTGAGCCCAGTCACCCTCACGCAGTGAAGGAAGCCACCAACCTGTCAAATACAGTGGTTAAGTATTGTTTAAAACATTTACTACTTCTTCCCTGATGTCTTTCATGAGGGCTACTGAAGGTACACTCCTCTGCATTTCTCTGTATGCTGAGTATCTTAAAAGCTTTTGGGTAACTTCACAAAGCCTTGGGTTTTACTGTAATGCTTCCCATTTTTGATTCCAATTCAAAGAATACAACCTTGAGACAGCAGGTGCATATTCACAATAGGAGAGACACTCAGCAGCAGGAAAAAAAAGTTGCAGGCACCACTCTCCCCCATGATAAGAACACCTGAACACAATTTATTTTTAACAGGCCTATGGCATCCTACTTCCCCTCAACAGCAGGCACACTACAGTACTGTTACTGTGTAATTAGAAGCTTTGTGATTATGCCCTGTCAGTAGTGACGCTTAAGTTCCTGGAGAAGTGGATTTAAACTTCTGGGAGAATTCTTCCAGCACCTCCATTAGCTTCTCCTCGTCCTCTGGTGGACTGTGGGTGCTTGCCAGGGGTAAGTGTGTAGGGACTGGCTGCCTGTCTGCAAAAGAAAAAATAAAAACAATCCTTATGTGTACAGCTAACCACCTCTTCTAGCCCAAAGGAGATTTTTCTGCTAGGCTCTATACTGGCCAAACATACCTCATGGTCTCGAAGCCAGGAAACTTACCTTCTGGGTATCTGTAAATAATGTGAGTTAAGCATATCTTCCAAACCAGAAATTGAACTGATTTCTTTTGTACTCTGGAACTAGAGTGATTGTCCTTTAGCATGGCATGACTTAAGAGTGAGGAGCGAGACCTCACTTGCAGATAGGGACAGTATAAAGCGAGGCCTTACTGGGGGGTTTGCACCTGCTCCCTGTAACTAGCGTAACTCCTGGAGAAAAAGACCAATAACTTGAGATGACTGCTGCAGGCAGAGGTTGCTTTTTCAGCATGAGACAGGGTTTTTCCTTGCCTCCTGGACAACATTTCTAGTGCTACACAAACTTCCCAGCTGGGACTTTGTAGTTTGGATTATATCTTAAAACGCTTTTTTTCATCCTTAAAAATAAATGGTTAAATACTAATTGCTAAAGAACTTATGCTAATTGCTCAATCACCGTAAGTAAGATGTATCCAGAGTAAAGACACCTGACCAAATTTGCTCAATTTGATGCTTTGATTGTTTTTCCACATCTCGTACTCCTCGCTCACTCAGTGTAAATATAGCTATATCACCCTCCATTCTAAGGGATCTTTCTCTCCAAAAACATGGTATCTAGAGCCTGGGAACCTTATGACAGTGCTCTCAGATGTCTATCAAGCAACTGTCAGAGCGCTGATGCAGCACTGTTAGTCTATTTTAATAGATCCAACTTCAGCGGCAGCCAGCTGAGACTAAAAGAGCGAGCTGTTGCAACACTGGGCAGCAGATTTCTCTGAAAACCTACCAGGTTTCCCAGGAGAGCAGAACTGTTTGCTCTCCTAAGAGCAAATGTTGTAACTGGCTGCACACACCACACAACCTCTGCTTATGGAAAACTGCAGAGAGAGAAACACGCAGAGGAATGTTCCTTTCTCCATCACTGAATAGGAACTGCTTCCTACCAAACTGCAGCGCTTCTAGTAGCCCGTGTTAAAGTTTGGGAAATATGTGTGAAAACCAAGTCCAGCATCATGGAGAAGATGCTTCTAGTCTTTGGAAAACAGGACTCTGCCAAATATTTTTTGTTTATTTTGGCAGATGCAAAGAATTCTCGTTGTACAAGTCATGTTCTCACTTCCCATTTATTTTACTCAGCAAAAAAAAATGCTGGCTTTGGTTTGCACTCAAAGGGAACAGAATAAAAGAGAACAGAGGAAATGGAAGGAAGGTGTGACTGATTCAGGAAATGGCCGTCTAGGACCAGAAGAGCAAGCAGGGTCTGTGGTAAAGTGCTCCTCCACACAAAGCCCTTTACTGGGGCCTGAAGAGGGCCTATACTAAGCTGTGGCTTCCAAAGGGTAATAGGAGAGAGAAATAACTGACTTCATCATTCAGCACTATTTTATAAGCATGGGACACGGAAACAGGACTTCTCTTGCAGCCTTAAGAGCTGCCATGCCAAGAGCAAAGCTCTGAAAAGTCATTAACTATAGCTAAAGAGCCAAGGCGTGTTCCCAGTTTACTAAAGCTGGGGGTAGGCAAAGGGCAAAGGCAAGAGCCTGGTGGAACTATGATCTAGAGCAAGAACAATTGAGCAGAAGCATTAGGACCAGAGGAAGGTGATAGGACTACGAAAAAGGCAAAGCCTGGTTCTACAAAGAAGACCAATGACCAGCGGGCCTGTAGGGTTTCAGCACAAACCACATGAAGACATGAAAAAGGTCTGGTTAAATACCTGTAAACCAACCCTGTGTGACTCTCTGGGAGGGGACAGAAAGGACAAAGTCAACCCAACTCCAGAAAAGTCTGAAGTTCCTGCACGCTCCGCCTAGAAATTCAGTGAGTCGGGATTTGAGTGCCACATCCAACAGAAGTACTGGGCTACTGTAAGCAATTACCCTGAGCTTTGCCTTTCTCCTACTGGAGTGACCTGCACCACCATTAAGACATCTATGCTTCCAGCTGCTCTCTGTCATTTGCCTGGGAGAAAAGAAAAGCTCTGCCCTATTTTTCCATTCCCTATGCTTACGGTGCCAAAAATTGCCATCGTCCCCAAGTCTCTGCCCAGAGTTAGAGAAAGGGGGAATTGGCAGTTTTAGCTAGCACGGAACGGTAGGAAGAAGAGCCTGTTAAAGCAAAGCCAACCCCTGGTGCTCTGTGAGAAGCACACTAGTTTCCCAACATCATAAAAGATGCTGTTTGACTTCTGTGATTTACCTTCACTTGGCACAGTCCTGCATACAGCCATTTTCATGAAAAAAAAACACAACAAACAACCTTCCCTAAAGAAATGCTTTGAACCCTTTATCAGCTCCTTTAGAGGACAAAAGCAGGAACATAACAACACGGTCTTTTTCTGGTTGCACAACGCTCACTTGAACCTTTAGTCTTGGAAAAATTCTGAGAAACACTTTATTCTTTGAACAACAATTGCCTGGTTGAGCCTTCATCCCCTTCCAGGCTAGAAGGGGACCCTACAATTCAGGCAGCTTAGTGATCTCCAATGCTACACAACGTAAGACGCTGCCACCTTACCTTGGAAGAACAAGCCGCTCGGTAACTTTGTTGCTTCAGATGATACTGCCAACCATACAACAGTATCAGCTCCCTGGGCCTCTGTGCGCAGACTATTCTTCATCTTCTGATAGAAATCTGGCATTGCCGATCTCACAGCTAGAAAGAGTAACAGGGGAGCGGTGGTTTGCAATGCAAGGCTTTTTTGATTAAAAAAAACAGGGCAGCTTAAAATTGTCATTGCGAGTGTAGGAAGAAGAGAACGCATCTCAGAATTTATGAAAGAGAACAAGTATTTCCCCATAGCTAGGAGTACGATGACCTGTGGTGGAATAGTGCTAAACTGCCAGACGATCCACCAGTTGTTTGTTTGGGTCAAATTACAGGGACAAAACTGGTAGGAGCTGAGAACAGGACCAACAAGAGGTTCCTGAGCCAATTCCATTCTAAACTGCAAAGAACTAAGACACGAGGGAAACAGAAATACCAAACCCCAGGTATTCTAACAGGATTTTTAGCTCTTATTTTCTCACCAGTTTTAGGAAACCAGTTGCAGCATTGTATTTAAAAACTGTATGGTCAACAGTACCTAAAACAACTGCATAATTCATGTTTAAACTCTGGTTTCATTTTATTTTGTCCAACAGGTGATGATTGAAGGCTCATCTCCTGCAGCTGTTTATTTTTGGGGGTTGGAGAGTCCTTGAACTTTAAGGTGGGATAACTTTATGGTTCCTTAGGTTTGAAATCGACAAAGAGTGTGCAAAAATAAATGTATTTTAAAGAAAAAGCAATACTAGGATATTTAGTCAGAAAGGGCAGTTTTCAAGCATAAAGTAGATGGGGTAAATGCTTCTGTCAACAGAAGCAAATTTGGGAAACTGTGTCCCTAGAAAAGACCTAGAGATCGGATTGCTAGTCTGCATCCCAAGCTTGGGTGTTAGGGGCTAGCAACATATTGTGGAACGCAACATGCGTACTGGATAACTGATGCTGGCCCGCCTGCCGAGACACACTCACTGAAGAACAGCTGCAGCTCAGACAAAGGGCTGTCTGGCCAAACTCGCTGCTTCTCGTTGGCAATAAATGTTTAGAGGAAGAGCAGAGGAATGGGACTTGCACAATAGTGCATGCTCCATTTTTTTATATGCCCTTGCAAACTCCCAACAGCTGCACATTGGTACTCACAGAGGGAAAAGCTCTTATCTGTGTATTTAACAGTCCCACTACAAATGTCATTTAGCTTAATGCACTACGGTTCTGCTGTGCATTTGTTCAGGGCTAGATTCATTCATTGCCCATTATTATTCTCTGGCTATACGCAGATGGCAGACACTGTGCAGAACAGAGCTACCAAGGGGGTACAAAACTAATTCAAGCACCAGTTTGGAGCCAGGAAATCACTGCACCTGTTGGAGAAATCTACCAGAAAGTCTCATGTCTCTTCGCTTTTCGACTAGGCCTGAAAAGAAAAAAAACCCTAGTCAGAGTGAGCGTCAAGCAGATGTTACCTGGAGTGTCTGCCCAGCCGGGGTGCATAACAGAGAAATGGATGTTTCTGTGAGCTTTTGCCCATTGTTCTGTCAAGACAACTTGCTGCCTCTAGGATAGAACAAAAAGAGCCAGACTAGCATCAAGTTCAATAGCCTGTCCACCAAGTTAGTTCCCAGAGACAAACTACATCAGATGTGCTGTAAATACCAGGGCATTTATGTATATACACTTGCTCATCCGGATCGGATTTATTGGATAATTTTGTCAGAGACCACCATGGTCACTGCAATCCATAACCTGGCCACAAGCTTACTTTTAAAGTGGTTACACTGCTTTTACTGACCATGTCTACTTGCTGCAGACTGTAGGTAAGAACTAAGCAGGCAGAAAGGGTCTGCCAGCTAAAGAGTTTTCCCCCTTGAGGCTTAAATCAAATCAAATGAAAGTCTAGCCATGCTCTCCGTGCAAGACGGTATGCACTCGTAATGCATCCCATCATACTCCAGAAGATTATTGGTTGTGCATCTCTGTACGGGTTGGATGCAATGGGAAAGCAACAGTGAACAACAGGCTTTTTGCAAAGCAGATGGTACAAGCCGCCTAGCAAACAAGCGCTGTGCTTTGTTTTCAAAACCATGGACTGTACCTTGTTTTGTGCATACACCATAGTTCCATCAAATGTCCCATTTCCCGACTGCAAGTCAGATATGTTTAATTTTTGAACTAGCATGCCCCCAGAAGAGACAGTTATCTGTAATCAAATGAATGAAAAGCAAATGAATGAAAAACAAAACCAGGAACTCCCCACAATCGCACTCATGCATGTAATGTGGTCTTCAGGCCATATTTTGAAGTCCCTAGGGAGCAGGCTTCCTCCGTGTATGTGTGGAGCATACCTGGACATGAGGTGGAAGAAACAGAATTTTTTTTAGAAAGCGATTTTCATTCGAAGTGGTGTTGACTCCTTCAGGGAACTTCGTGCTTCTTCCTTTTGAAAAGTAATCGGGAGAAAGAAAACAGCAGAATAGCACTATTTGTAGTTTATGTGTTAGCATTTGTAGAAGCTAATTAGAAAATAAGAGACTGTACAAAACCTGGGAAATTTCATTTGATAAAAATGTACCTGCTGTCCTATTTTACACCAAGATCTGAAAGGTTCTTTTAAGCCTGTACTCTTGTTATAGGCATTCTGCACTACGCTGCAGGAGATAACTTGCCCCAGGAAAAGTAAAAGGGGAAGTTTCCAAAGGAAGAGTTTTACTTTGATTTGCAATGAAGAGTTGAGAGTAGCAGGCAGAAGCTTTGCCTTGGAGAAGGAGGTTGTTGTTAGCAAAATCCAAGAGGATTCTAGAGATGCTTACAGCATTATAACCAATCCTGCACTGCTGGCACAATAAAAGAAATGCTGTCACAAACCAGAAGATAAGAATAGTAAAACACCACTTTTCAACAGCATCACAGACTCACCACTCTGGCATCAGCTTCTTTTTCCAGGAGGGGCAGCAAGGCAGTTGTCAGAATATATGTACCTAAAAGACAGACAGGGACCAACATTAATTTTTCTTTTTAAAAAAGCTTTCTTCTCTCCCCACCCTCTATAATGACCCAAAACCCAAGGTGTCTTTATTTCGGAAACTTGATCTGAATTTAATGATGATTTTTTTCTTTTTGCTGCTCTACCTGCAATACGCCAACTCAACTTGCAGTGATCCACATTGCTGCATACTTGGGGGTTGGACTAGATGACCTCCAGAGGTCCCTTCCAACCCTGACCATTCTATGATTCTGTGATACTTATCAAAAGGCACATCAGTTATTTTACAGACTTTTAGGTCTATTGTACCTATAGAGCAAACTGCTCACTTCATTCAGCCACGACCCTGAAGGCAAAATGACTCAGGTATGGATTTCCTTGGGGGTGAGGTGATGCCAGGGAAGAAATAGGGAACGCATTTCCCCTCCACGTGTGGCATATATACACATATCTATGTTGGGTCACAAACTAGAGAAGGAAACTGTACTTCACACTTGTATTTCTTAGGCCCTCGCATATGCACTTAAGACTCATCCATTTTTATCTTCTCACTGTGAAATCACTCAGAGTACCCCAATACTTTTGATTTGCGTTACACACAAAAACTGCCTCTTAAATCCCCAGCATGACTATTACAGAAGATAAAGAACCCTTGGGGGAAAAATACTAGTGTTGCGTGCCCAAGGCTGAGCTAAGATTACGTGGGGAAACTGAATTGTGTCCTTCCCCACTGTAACTGTGTTCATTTAGCATAGATTTGTACACATCACACAAATATATTCCATTACAGCTGTTACCATGACCAGCAAAGTTTGTTATTCAAAACATTGTTCAACCACTATTGAGTTTGATTCAGACACACCTAGTGACCTTTCACCCGCTCAAGTGCAACACAGGGATTTTTGTTTGTTTTTATCTCTTCAGAGATACCTTTAATTTTTTTCCCCTTTAAATTGCATTTAAAAAAATGTTTAATTCAAAATGAATCTAGCCCCATTTAGTCTAGTTTTTCTTTGTAGAGTATAATACTTCCCTCTCCTCTCCACAAATGGCTCTAGTTCAACAATTCTATGCCAGCGATAAACGTATTTTTTTCCATGAACTACCGAGGCCATGTTTTTCACCAGACATGAAGACTTCAGCATGTGTCTTTATAACCTCTCTTCCACAGAGGCAATGAGATCACCCAGCTAAAATACAGCATGTTTATAAATATGCTACCAAAATCAAACATGTTACATGCCTGGTGAACAAACTGTTCATTTTCCCTGTCAGTCACAGCAGTCTTCATTTTCTCTATGTAATCAGAGGGACATCCATATGCACACAATATATTTAAAACCCTGGCAAATCAAACAAAGCGAATGCACAGCAGATGAGTAAATGCAGCTTGTCTTCAGCAGAAAATGCAAGCGAAGGCAGTTGTCAGTGAATAATGAGAGCTCGTACGTCTCCCCTGATAGTGGCGGGGAGACTGAACGATGACATCATTAGGACAAGAACTACTGCCGATTGTCATGGGAGGCTGCCGCGATGTTAAAAAAAAACCCAAACCCCACTTCAGTACAAACTAAGAGCCTGGATTAAATTTTGATTTGCTATGGATTCTTCAAATGCAAAGTAACATCACGTCTTGGTTAAATACACTGCATTTCCTAAAGGCAGAACTGCAATGCACCAGCTATGAGGATGCTCGATTTCACTGTTCTGCAGATTAATTTACACTTTTAAGGGGCTTCATGTTGGTTTGTTAATTCTAAAGGGATGGGAAGATGAATGCATTAACATTGCCTCATTAACAACTGGGGTTTGTTTTGTTTTCCAGCTGGATGAGAGAAATGTTCTATGCCAAAAATCCTGCTTATAGCAACTACAGCTTGTCAGAAGTTTATGTGCTTATTTAAAACCACAAACTGGCTGCAAAGCCAGCGTCTCCTCTCTTCCTCAAGTTTATTAAGAATTCAGTAAATCCCACAGAGCCAGAGCATTCAATCTTTTTGCCCCACAAAACCACTTGCTTTGAGACAGAGCGCAAAAAGACGAGTTTTGATCCCAGCTTCCTATGGTAAGCACTAGTATCTCAAAACACACACAGATGCAACACATCAGGCACTGAGACTGAAGCATTTCATTTCTCCCACTACTAAATATTTCAACAACTACTGTCCCAGGTTTAAGTGTTAGAACGCAAACTCCTTAGTACTTTAACAAGTATACTTGGCTATTACACGTTCTTATTTGCATGGGCTGGTCTATCAGGCAAAATAGCCTGGACAAGAAATTTAGCACAGTAACAGTAGAATAGATATAAGTTATTAATAAGGTATATTGTTGGTTAGCATACATCATTATTGACTGAAACCTCCACATTTTTATTCATGTAAAAGCTGGCATGTAGTTTGATAGTTACGTTTAAACAAATAGGACTGAACAATGTGAAGTACAGCCAGTGAGGAGGCCTGGCACAGCCTTGTACCTCATGACATGCGTTTGGCCAAGCACAGCTGTATTGCAGCATGCAGTAATACAGACATGAATTTCTAAGTAAAAAGGAAAGCCGCAAATGAATGCATTGCCTGCCACAGTCCTCACAAAAACATGAATTGCATTAAAAATATAAAAACAAAAAAGGAAAATGTTCTTATTTTTAGTAAAAAATATTTTTCAAGGACAACCAAGATTGATTTGGTAGAAGAAACTACATTCCCATCTCTCCCCACTTAAGGAAATCAAGACAACATCCAAATCATATATAATATCCCTTTTGCTAATAATTTATTATTAGTATCAACGTACTGGACATCTGCCTTTCCAAAATGAATACTTCAGCATTGTAGTACATTTCCTTGACACAAAAGTCATTTTTATCTGCTAAAGGAGAAACCTCCTCCCGCAGAGCTTAGTTAAAAATAGTAAAGCATATCAAATGTGATTAATCCTCAATTATCACTGTGTTCAAACTATACAGATTTTTAGAGGTTTCTTTTTTTTTTATTGTTTAAAAAGACCAAGAGAAAACACAAAAGTGCGTGGAGGGAAAGATGATGATCAACAGTGAACACTGAAAGCATTAAGCATTAGGTATCTTGGCGAACTTGCCCCTCCTCCGAGAGGGCCTTTGGGATTCTGCCAGAAACAAAGGAAAACCTTTTTTCCCCTGAAAACAAGAACTGCCACTGCTCCTGCGTGATTCCGGACAAAGTATGTCCTTGTCTTAAGCAGATACTTGAGGCCACCACGTTTCCCAGTGCCTGTTCCCCAGCAGTTGTATCCATGACAGAAGAGGAACCGAGAGCCCTCTGGAACACATGACAACTGGGAGTAGGATGTTTCTGTCTGAACAGTTGTCCTGGACTATGGCCCATTTCTTACTCAGGTCTGAGTGCCTGTGGAAAAGAGCAGGCTATTTTGAATTATTCACACGGCAGAAACTCGAGCAGCAACCTCTCTCTCACATGCGTCTCAGACCCAGCACGCAGGGAGCTGTGAGTACACCTACAAGACAGTGCCGGACATATGGCTGTACTACCTCCATCTATGACTGTGTGACTCTTAGACATCACCTTTTCCTGCCGTTGGAAGGTATATTGTCTACGTGGCCTTAAAGCTTGACTCACACTGGTGTGAAAGTATAGGAGGGTGGAAATTGCAGTGAAACGGTACACAATGCTTCCCTTTGAAAAGAAGTATTTGCTGTGCCGCAGAGAAGTCCAGCAAGATGAATTCGGGAGCTTGCTCAGAAGTATCAGGAATGCAGAAGGCGGTGAGTAACCATCCAGTCTATCACCCCTACATACAGGATTTCATCTCGCCCTTGCTGAACTCTGCTGAGGTGAAGAGTTGACAAGAGAAACCTAGCAGACAAGCTACAGCCCTGTTCAGTGCAATGAGGTTTGACACAGTACTTGCTGTCACGTTTTCTCCAGTTAAAGAGGCTCCTGGAATTGATGCACAGTTTCTTTTAAAGATAAACATCCTTTCAACATTTGCTTTTCTTTGGAAAAATTCCTCTAAGTTTTATGTCTTGAAGCAGAGCTCACATAATAGGAAATCATGTATAATACACTGTATTAAATAAAACCTTCCTATAAGGACACAGCAACTCCACCATTACACACCATTCAACCAACTCTATCGTATGGTAGATTAGACAGTGTAGGTTGTCAGTCTCTGTGTTACACATGGTAATTCCAGTAAAAGCAACGAGCACGGCATTTAATGAGAACACAGTTTGTTCATACACACTCCCTCCCAAGTGCTGATCACATTAATGTTTAAGTTTCATTAAGTTTACTTGCTCAAAAAAAATAATAAAAAAATCACCATGCATTCCCTTGTGGCCCATTTTGTAATTGCTCTGCTTACTCTGAGATCTTCTCAATTTAGTTGAGTATCTGATAGTGTGTTGTAATTAACAACTCCTATTTTTAACCTCATACATGACATGAACCTCTCTGTCAACCTGTATAAGCAGTAATTCAGTGTTTTCACAATCACAGAGTGAAACTTTAATGATGCGAGTGTAGAAAATGAGGAACTCTTACAGAGGTAAACATCCGATTTGTACACCAGTTGTTTAAAAAAAAAAAAAAACCCTACAAAAATCAGCCTGTCTGCTTCATAAACTCCTAAATAAAATTAGGCTACCTTTTGTGTGACCTGAAGTAGAAGCTGAGGGGACTTTACGGAAGACATTATTGTTAGATTCTCCAGGAAGGTAACTCTGCATGTTCTTGCAACAGTTACTTCACCGTGGATCTCACCATCTCTACCACAGCATAACCAAAGTGAAAGCTATCCCCGCGCAAGGGACGGAAGTCTACAGAGTATTAGACACTGGATCTTTTCCCCAGAAGGCTACAAATCTTTTTGTACTAGAACATGAAAGTAACCAAAACACAGAATAGCCTTAACAGAAAATATAAACAAACACTGTGAAGGCAGATTTCCAAAATGCTGGTGTTGTAACTCAGCTTTAGCCCGCTAAAACCTGGA